CGCGGCCGCGGGGGCGTCAAGGGGCGGCTGTAGGATGTCCGCGGGAGACGGCGCCTCCGCCTCGGCTGCCACCGGGGGAGCCCCACGGGAGCCTGGGCCATACGCCCCTGGCGCGGCGGCGGCAGGGAGCCTCGGGGCGACCCCAGCACCCCCTGCCGCGCCGTTTCCCTGGGAGGGGGGAGTGGGCACCTGGCCTTCGACCGTCTCCAGCAGGGGCAAGATGGGGCCGCCTCGGGCCTCCAGAGCAGCTGCGAGGCGTTCCCTGTCGCCCTCGGGGAGCTGCGTGTAGCCCTCCATCGCCGTCGCTGGTGGCAAGGGGCCATCCACGCAGGTCATGTGGAACCACTTCTTGCCCGCGTGCGCCTGGGAGCCCACGAGGCGCGTCACGGCGCCTGCCACGCGCCACTCGCCCGCCTCGAAGCCTCCCATGCAGCGGGTGCGATGGGCTTGATTGCCGCGGGTCGCCTGGGCGCTGACGCACCAGCGAGTGATACGTCCTCCCGTCATGCAGCGCCGTCGCTGCGCCGGCTGACCTTCACTGTCCCGCATGTGGACGTCGGTGCCGCCGTCCATTGGGACTTCTGGAACGCTTGCATCGGCCGATGCGAGTGCGGCAGCGGAGGCGCACGGGGCGGCCCCGGCACCTCCGCTGCCCGCTGCGGCTGCCAGCGCACCGCCTTCACCTCGGGCCGCCGCGTCGTTACTCCCAGCCGCTCGAGCCCCTGCACCTGCGTCCGCAGCGCCGCCAGCGGCCGCCGCCATCCCGGGACCTCCATTCAGGGCAAGGAAAAGTGTGCGTAAGGGTAAGGGCACGAGAAAAGGAAGGGTGGCTGTCACCCGCGGTTTGAAGGCAGCAGTAGCCCCCCCGCCCACAGGCTCCCCAAAGCCTTGGGGGGACTGCTACTACTACTACTACTACTACTACTACTACTACTACTACTACTACTGCTGCTGCTGCTGCTACTACTACTACGACAACTACTACTACTACTACTACTACTACTACTACTACTACTACTACTATTACTATTACGACAACTACTACTACTACTACTACTACTACTACTACTACTACTACTACTACTACTACTACGACTACTACTACTACTACTACTACTACTACTACTACTACTACTACTACTACTACTACTACTGACTACTACTACTACTACTACGACTACTACTACTACTACTACTACTACTACTACTATACTACTACTACTACTACTACTACTACTACTACTACTACTACTACTTTACTAACTACTACACTACTTCTACTCCTACTCCTATCCTTATTCTTATTAGAATATACTCCTACTCCCCCCTCAGGCCGGCAGATAGGGGCCGCATAGCGGGCGGGGGTGGTCCCATCCTAACCTGTAAAAAACAATACAAAATCAACATTTTTCTTATTTTTTCCTCTCGACATGGACGTCCTGTCGTCCACGGCGATAATCCATTGCAAAAAATACCACAAAGAGCACACGCGCGCGTTCATGTCAGAATCCTACCGAACACCGTGTTTTCGCAAGCATTCCAACCTAAAAACATCAAAAACCAAATATATTTTTTTCACAAAAAAATGTACAAGTTTCCCGCCCGGGCTCTCTTGCTGAAATCATAGGAAAACCATAGGAATCTTAAGAATTCTGTCAAATCCAGCGATTTCACGTCATCGCGCGGTGCACTCGCGATGCTCTGTCATGCACCCAGGCCGCGAATCCTGTGCAAAAAATGCCACAAAGAGCACACTCGCGCGTTCATGTCAGAATCCTACCGAACACCGTGTGTTTGCAAGCATTTCAACATAAAAACATCAAAAACCCAATGCTTTTTCACAAAAATGCTTTGGGGTGTCCTGTCAGACCGTCGGGCTTCCTCCGGCCACCTCTGGCTTCCTGCGGTGTACCGGGCCATTCTCGACTCGTCTGGCAATGCGTGCGCGGCATTCAACACGCGCTCGCCAGTTCCCGTCGGCAACCGCCATCGCGGCCGCATCAGCTGTACCAAACCGGCTGGCCGGTGTGACTTCGGCCCCCAGTTGTGCCAGCTTTGCTTCTTATGTTGTGGGAGGGCGGGTGGGACTGGGCATGCCATGCTTGACTCGCTCGAGCTGGCTAGCTTGACTCCTACTCCTACTCCTATCCTATTCCTTATTAGAATATACTCCTACTCCCCCCTCAGGCCGGCAGATAGCGGGCGCATCCGGGTGGTCCCATCCTAACCTGTAAAAAACAATACAAAATCAACATTTTTCTTATTTTTTCCTCTCGACATGGACGTCCTGTCGTCCACGGCGATAATCCATTGCAAAAAATACCACAAAGAGCACACGCGCGCGTTCATGTCAGAATCCTACCGAACACCGTGTGTTTGCAAGCATTTCAACATAAAAACATCAAAAACCCAATGCTTTTTCACAAAAATTGTACAAATTTCCCGCCCGGGCTCTCTTGCTGAAATCATAGGAAAACCATAGGAATCTTAAGAATTCGGTCAAATCCAGCGATTTCGCGTCATCGCGCGGTGCACTCGCGATGCTCTGTCATGCACCCAGGCCGCGAATCCTGTGCAAAAAATACCACAAAGAGCACACTCGCGCGTTCATGTCAGAATCCTACCGAACACCGTGTGTTTGCAAGCATTTCAACATAAAAACATCAAAAACCCAATGCTTTTTCACAAAAATGCTTTGGGGTGTCCTGTCAGACCGTCGGGCTTCCTCCGGCCACCTCTGGCTTCCTGCGGTGTACCGGGCCATTCTCGACTCGTCTGGCAATGCGTGCGCGGCATTCAACACGCGCTCGCCAGTTCCCGTCGGCAACCGCCATCGCGGCCGCATCAGCTGTACCAAACCGGCTGGCCGGTGTGACTTCGGCCCCCAGTTGTGCCAGCTTTGCTTCTTATGTTGTGGGAGGGCGGGTGGGACTGGGCATGCCATGCTTGACTCGCTCGAGCTGGCTAGCTTGACTCCTACTCCTACTCCTACTCCTACTCCTACTCCTATCCTCCTTATTCCTTATTAGAATATACTCCTACTCCCCCCTCAGGCCGGCAGATAGGGGCCGCATCCGGGTGGTCCCATCCTAACCTGTAAAAAACAATACAAAATCAACATTTTTCTTATTTTTTCCTCTCGACATGGACGTCCTGTCGTCCACGGCGATAATCCATTGCAAAAAATACCACAAAGAGCACACGCGCGCGTTCATGTCAGAATCCTACCGAACACCGTGTGTTTGCAAGCATTTCAACATAAAAACATCAAAAACCCAATGCTTTTTCACAAAAATTGTACAAATTTCCCGCCCGGGCTCTCTTGCTGAAATCATAGGAAAACCATAGGAATCTTAAGAATTCTGTCAAATCCAGCGATTTCACGTCATCGCGCGGTGCACTCGCGATGCTCTGTCATGCACCCAGGCCGCGAATCCTGTGCAAAAAATACCACAAAGAGCACACTCGCGCGTTCATGTCAGAATCCTACCGAACACCGTGTGTTTGCAAGCATTTCAACATAAAAACATCAAAAACCCAATGCTTTTTCACAAAAATGCTTTGGGGTGTCCTGTCAGACCGTCGGGCTTCCTCCGGCCACCTCTGGCTTCCTGCGGTGTACCGGGCCATTCTCGACTCGTCTGGCAATGCGTGCGCGGCATTCAACACGCGCTCGCCAGTTCCCGTCGGCAACCGCCATCGCGGCCGCATCAGCTGTACCAAACCGGCTGGCCGGTGTGACTTCGGCCCCCAGTTGTGCCAGCTTTGCTTCTTATGTTGTGGGAGGGCGGGTGGGACTGGGCATGCCATGCTTGACTCGCTCGAGCTGGCTAGCTTGACTCTACTCCTACTCCTATCCTTATTCCTTATTAGAATATACTCCTACTCCCCCCTCAGGCCGGCCATTAGGGGCCGCATCCGGGGGTCCCATCCTAACCTGTAAAAAACAATACAAAATCAACATTTTTCTTATTTGTTCCTCTCGACATGGACGTCCTGTCGTCCACGGCGATAATCCATTGCAAAAATACCACAAAGAGCACACGCGCGCGTTCATGTCAGAATCCTACCGAACACCGTGTGTTTGCAAGCATTTCAACATAAAAACATCAAAAACCCAATGCTTTTTCACAAAAATTGTACAAATTTCCCGCCCGGGCTCTCTTGCTGAAATCATAGGAAAACCATAGGAATCTTAAGAATTCGGTCAAATCCAGCGATTTCACGTCATCGCGCGGTGCACTCGCGATGCTCTGTCATGCACCCAGGCCGCGAATCCTGTGCAAAAAATACCACAAAGAGCACACTCGCGCGTTCATGTCAGAATCCTACCGAACACCGTGTGTTTGCAAGCATTTCAACATAAAAACATCAAAACCCCAATGCTTTTTCACAAAAATGCTTTGGGGTGTCCTGTCAGACCGTCGGGCTTCCTCCGGCCACCTCTGGCTTCCTGCGGTGTACCGGGCCATTCTCGACTCGTCTGGCAATGCGTGCGCGGCATTCAACACGCGCTCGCCAGTTCCCGTCGGCAACCGCCATCGCGGCCGCATCAGCTGTACCAAACCGGCTGGCCGGTGTGACTTCGGTCCCCAGTTGTGCCAGCTTTGCTTCTTATGTTGTGGGAGGGCGGGTGGGACTGGGCATGCCATGCTTGACTCGCTCGAGCTGGCTAGCTTGACTCCCACTCCCACTCCCACTCCACTACTCCTACTTCTCCTCCTACTCCTCCTACTCCTCCTCCTCCTCCTCCTCCTCCTCCTCCTCCTCCTCCTCCTCCTCCTCCTCCTTCTCCCCCTCCTCCTCGCCTCCCCCTCCCCCTCCTCCTCGTCCTCCTCCTCCTCCTCCTCCTTCTGCTTCTCCTCCTCCTCCTCCTCCTCCTCCTCCTCCTCCTCTTCCTCCTCCTCCCCCTACTCCTCGCAGCTGCTGACGCGCGCGGGCGCGCCACACCGAGGGGCACCCCTCCCCGCGCGGTGGGGGCCGCCCCGCTGGCGGCGCGCATGGCGGCGCCCGCGAGGAGCAACTCCGCGGCCCCGCCGGCGCTGCCCGGCGCGCCGGGGCGCAGGGGCGCGTTGGCAGGCGCGGCCGCAGCGGGGCGGGGCTGCAGACCCAGACACGAAAAAACCATCAAAAATCCGGACGGGAGGTTTTCGTGGCCGTTTTGGGCCTCGGGGGGCCCTCGCACGGCAGGCTCGGGGTCGGCAAAGAGGGGGGTGATGACTGGGGGGGGATATCATGGCGTGGGCCATGATATCTTCACAGCTTTCACGGCGCCGCTTCTTGTTTCACTGCGTCCCTGACCCCCCCCCCATCTTGGACATCCCTCTCTTGGCCGCCCCCGACAGGCGCGGCCGCAGCTGGGGCCGGGCTGCAGACGCAGACACGATCGCGTCGAACAAAAAAGCTGGCGGTAGGTTTATGTGGCCGTTTTCGGCCTCGGGGGGCCCTCGCCGGGCCTCAGGGCCGTCCAAAAACGAGTCGGGACGAAAAACCGACCCCGGGGAAAGAGTCGGGAATTCCAGGGACCCCGTATTGTTAAAATCAGGGCGTCGCATGTCTGGGGAGGTCGGTGGCGAGTCCGGGGGGGAAGTGAGAGGGAGGAGGCCTTCTCACCCAGACCCCCTCGGGTCATGGAAGAAGTTCGTGCCCTGAGATCCTGGCGTCTCATTTTGTTCGAGCCGGGCGCGCTCGGCTTTTTGTTCGGGCCCCGGGACCCTCACAGATCGATGCGGCTCGAAAAATGACCCAGGAAGATGGGGTCCAGAGCTCTGGTCGTGATTTTGCACGATGTTGCAGTTTCTTCGCAACGTCGGATCTCAGGGTGACGGGAGCTTTTTCTCTACTATTGTCGGCCTCTGGGAGCCCTGACGGAGAGGGCATCAGGACCGTCAGAAAACGACTGAGGATGAAAAGCCGGTCCTGGGGAATGCGTCGAGACCTCTGGGGGTCGACGTCCTCAAAAAATCATGGCGTCGGGGGTCTGGGCAGAAGCCTCGGAAGTCTTCCCCAAGTCTTCCGAGAAGGCTTCCGAGCCTTCCCCGAAGGCACGAAAAGACTCTTCTCAGAGGGCGCGAGGGCTGCTGAGAAGCCCCGCCGCCTTCTGAGAAGGCCCTCTCCTTCTCACTTCCCCCCCCACTCGCCCGCCGCCGACGAGGTCTCGACCCCTTCGCCGGGACGGGTTTCTCATCCTGCGTCGTTTTCGTCACGGCCCCAGAGCCCGGGAAGAAGGGCCCCAGAGAGGCCGAAGATGGCGAAAGATGTCACGATGCGCGTTGTTTCACGACGCCAGGGGCCCCAGGGCCTGGCAGGAACGGGCCCCGAGAGGCCGAACTTGCTGGAAACTGCCCCGCCGGTGTTTTTTTGCCACAGCGCGAGGGGGCCCGTGTGGATGCGGGTTGACCTCTGAAGGGTCGAGCCTACAAGGGTTGCCGCAGGTAGAGGAAGGCCAGGGAGAAGGTCGCGAGCCCTTTTCCCATGCGCCGCGGGCGGGCGGCGCAGTACCTAATACCAGTGCCTGAGCCAAGACGTCGGCGGTAGATAAGGATAGAATGGTGATCTGAGCGGACTTCACACAGCCCGGGGAGGAGCCGTGCTGCGGGCGCGTGGCCCGGGGCGCTGCGAGCGGGGGCCTCTCCTGGGCTGCGCTCTCGTCGCGCACGGCGGCGCCCTCGTGGCGCGCGGGGGGCGGCGGCCGCGGCACGCGGGGGGCGCGGCGCGGCCCGAGGGGCAGGGCGGCGCCCGGCTGGCGGGGCGGGCCACGGCCGTGGAGGCAGAGCCGCAGCTGAGGATTCGACCCGACGAAAGAATGGCCTTTCGCCGGAGGGACCTTCGGCGCGGGCCCACTCCCCGACATGACCGCGCCGTAAAAAACAACAAAAAAAAATAAACAAAAAAAACTCTGGGCGGCGGGTTTTTGGCCAGCTTCGGCCTCGAGGGGCCCTCGCCGGGCCTCAGGGCCGAGTCGGGACGAACAACTGGTCCCGGGGAAAGGGTCGGGACTTCCAGGGACCCCGCACTCAAAAAATCGGGATGTCGCATGTCTGGGACGGGGCCCCCTCGCTCGCGGAACGCGACGCGGTAGCAGCGGCTTGCGCGCCCAGGCTCGGCCACCCCGCGTCCCCCCGGTAAGCCGCGCACCAGAGGTGATTCTTGCCTAGTGTTAAGTCGGGCCTGTCCTTCTACAGAGGGAATATTCAAAAATAGTCAAAAAATTGTCCAGGGACGATGTTTTGAGTATTTCCGTTTTTTTGTTTAGCAATTGGGGAGTACGTTTATTTTTTCACTCCAGATCCGCCTGTAGGGGGACACGCCCGACCTCAGCCTCGTGTCATTCCTGCGCGCAGTCGAAGGATGCACGAGGTGAAGGAGCTGCTGAGCGCTGCCAGGAGGCGCTCGGCCGTGGTGCTCGAGGCCATGGGGGCTCTGGGCCTCCCCGCCTGGGGTCGGAGCAGCGGTGTCGGAGGATCGCGCCGCATCGCCGAGGCATCGGCGATGCGGCTCGATGTGGAGCCCGACGGCCTCCTCGCCGACGTCGCGGGGGCATCGCCGACGTCGTTCTGCGCATCGCCTGGGGCATCGGCGACCCTCCGACCGCATCTGCTCCGACCCCAGCCGGTAGGCTTAGGTCGGGCATGTCCTCCTGCAGGCGGACTCTGGAAGAAGAATGCGACGTAGTCTAGACATCGTCAACAATAGTCAAAAGTATTGGAAAAACGTCCCCAGCCCATTGCTTTACAATGTTTGAGTCCTCCTCCTGTAGAGGGGCATGCCCCACTTCATGGTAGGCATCTGGGGGCGGCGAGGTAGCTCTGCACAGCCACCGCCCCCCGGCGAGAGGCCTCGCCGCGGGCCCAGGGAGGCGTGTGCGTGCACGGCCTCCCGGCTCGGGCCAAGGCGGCCGCCTCGAAGGGTGTGCCTCAACGATAACGGCAGCAACAATAACAACAACAACAACAACAACAACAACAACAACAACAGCAGCAGCAACAACAACAACAACGACCACAGCAGCAAGAACCATAACAGCAATAATAATGATAACAACGATCACAGCGACAACGATAGCAACGAGAACAACGAGAACGTCATCGCCATCGTCATCGTCACCGTCACCGTCATCGTCATCGTCATCGTCATCGTCGCCCCGACGGGCCGACGTCGCCACGATCAGAGCGCTGCTTCTTTGGGGCGCATGCCGCGGTCCGAGCGCCATCCCGAGGGGTGCTCCTCGAGCTCTGGCGGACTCTCACGTCGCCACGGTCAGAACGCCGACCCGTCGGGCGCGCTCGTTCAAAGGGGGCATCTGATTCGGCGGCGAGCGCGGGGGGGAAGGGGCGCGCCTTCTCAGAAGGCCTGGAAGCCCCTGGCCTTCCGAGAAGTCTTGTAGGCCATCCCCGAGGGCGCCGAGAGAGCCTTCTCAGAGGGCGCGAGGGCGTCCGAGAAGCCCCGCCGCCTTCTGAGAAGGCCCTATCCTTCTCACGTCCCCCACCTCGCCCGCCGCCGAAGAGGTCTCGACCCATTCCCCGGATCGGGTTTTTCATCTTGAGTCGTTTTTTTGACGGTCCCAGGGCCCATCAAGAGCCCCGAGAGGCCGAAAGTAGCGAAAAGTGCCCCCCTCGCCCGCCGCCGAGGAATGCCCCACTCCTGGTCCAAAGGATTTGGCCTGGGCCTCCTCCTCCTCCTCCTCCTCCTCCTCCTCCTCCTCCTCCTCCTCGGGGGAGGCGGACGGTGCACAGATCTCGCCGCCCCAGAGGCCAGGGGCGTCGGCGCCCCAGGATGGGGGGAGAAGGCGGCGCAGGCGCGCGAGGCGTCGAACGCGGCAGGCCTCTGGGACGACCCCGCCAGGGCGGCGCGCGTGATCGCTGAGCTCCAGGCAATCGAGTCGGCGGAGCGGTCCGCGAGAACGTTCGCGGAGGCCGAGGATTCGGTCGGGCATGTCCCTCCACGGAAGGAATATCAATGTGTGTTGTTGTTGTTGTTTGACGATGTTTTGAGTATTTCTGGTTTATGGTCCGCACGTTTTGTCTTCCAAAAATCCGCCTGTGGGAGGACATGCCCGACCTAAGCCGAGGAGGAGATGGTCGCGGCCCTCGAGCTCGCCGGCGAGGCGGACGCTGGAGGCGAGGCGCAGCTGTTCCTGCAGGAGTCAGGGGCCACGTCAGGGACAGGCTCACAGGCTTCGAGGCTTGAGGTTTCGGGCGCTTTCGTCGGTTCTGGACGGTTTTCCAGCCTCAGGGAGCCTTCCAGCGGCAGCGCCTCGCCGAGAGCGTTCCGACGGTGCTCACATCGTCCTAAACGGCCGCCGGAGACTTGAGCTATGGCCCGAGATCTAAGGGGCAACGACAGGAGGAATAGGCTCAGGGGGAATGCATCGACACCCAATCGCCCATTGATCGCCGAAAGGGGCCCGATAGCCCACCGCGCACAATTACGTGCGGACTTGCTGTCGGGGACTTATCGCCGATCTATCGGCGATGCATCGCCGATTCAAGGTCGACGTTTCCCCCCCTGAGCTGGTCCACCCCTAGCGTTGCCCCTCAAGGAGGCGAAGGGCGTGCACGAGGCGTGGGTGTCCGCCCTCGACAAGATGGAAAGGGCGGTGCTGATGTCTGGAGAGTTTGACGAGCTGGGGTGCGAGCTCAGGATATTCGCAGGCGCGGGCGGGGACGAAGCTTGCGACTGGGTGTCCATGCTCGAGAGGATGTACTCTGGCTTCTCCCAGTCTCAGGGCTGGAGATTCGAGCGACTGGATTTTGAGCCCGGCGCAAGCTTGGGGATGAAGAGCGTCGAGGCGTCCATCGAGGGCGCGTTCGCTTACGGCATGCTGCGAACGGAGCAGGGCACGCACCGTCTTGTTCGTGTTTGGAACGGGAAGCGGCAAACCACCTTCGCAGGCGTGGAGGTCATACCCACGCTGCCCGAGGACAGGATCGACGAGATTGACGTTCCGGAGTCCGATCTGGAGTTCAGCTTCTTCAGGGCCGGAGGCAAGGTGTGCGGCGCGCAGTAAAGGAAGGCCTGGGGCGAGGGGAGTGGCCTGATCAGAGGGCGCGCGGGCGTCTCAGAACCCAGACCCCCGACGTCATGATTTTTTCAAAACGTCGGCCCCCAGGGGTCCCGACCCATCCCCTGGGGCCGACTTTGGACGCTCCCGAGGGCCGGATAAGGGCCCCCAGAGGCCGAAAGTGGCGAAAAATCTCCCGCCCTGATATTGTTGTTCCTTCCTCGATGGGGGTCTGGGAGGCGGGCCCCGAGCCCCGCCTCGGAAGGCCGCCCCGGCGCCTCCCCGCAGGCCGCCCCCCTCGCCCCCTGGCCCTCCCAGCGCGCCGCCGGCAAAGGGCGGGCAGAACGTGAACAAGGCGCCGGCGGGGGGTCCGAAAGGCGCTGGAATGGCCCTCGCGGTGCCCCTCCTCGCTTCTCGCGCCGCTCGTGGGCTTCCCTCGACGGAGAAAAGAGAGCGCATAAACAGAAACTCCTGGCGCTCCGCGCGGATTCCTCCGAAAAAGCACATACAGTAAACATACAAACGTTTGGCGCTCCGAGCGCCGGTTTCGGCTGTGCGCGTCGCGGTCGACCAATGGAAAAAACGGCAGCCCAAAACAGAACAAAAACGACACCAGCCAGGCCCAAAGCGGAGGTAGCACGGCTCCCAAAACAGTAAAGAAAGCACGTCGATTTTGATAACGGAAAAACGAACCCCAGCGTTTTCTCCCCAATCAGCGCTTGCATTGGATGGGACCTAGCGGATTTTGAAGGAATTGGCGAAAGTAGGCGGTCGATTTCGGTAATTAGGCCGCCGGGTTCCCGGGTTCCCGGTGCTGGGTTCCCGGGTTGCCCGTTGTTGGTTCCAGACCGGTTTCGGCGGGCGGCGGGTTTCCCGGGTTGCCGGGTCCCCGGTTCTTGGTCGATGTTTTGATCCATCGGTCTCACTATCGATCTCACTACCCACCTCTCTACCGATCTCGCGATCGATCTCACTGCAGATCCCGCGAGCGATCTCACGATCGATCTCACTATCGATCGCATTGAATCGACTCCACTATCGGTTTCACGATCGGTCTTACTCTCGTCCTCACTATCAATCCCACGATCGATCTCACAGTCCATTTCGATATATATGTATATACATATATCTAAGTATATATATACACGCATACATACATACATACATGCATACATGCATACATACATACATGCATACATACATACATACATACATACATGTATACATACATACATACATACATGCATGCATACATACATACATACATACATACATACATACACACCTATATACATACATACATACATACATACATACATACATACATACATACATACATACATACATACATACATACATACATACATACATACATACATTACATGAATGCATGCATACATACATACATACACATACACACATATATACACATACATACATACAAACATACATACATACATGCATGCATGCACGCATACATACATGCATTCATACATGCATGCACACACATACATACATACATACATACATACACACATACATGCATGCATGCATGCATGCATGCATGCATACATACATACATACACACCTATATACATACATCCATACATACATATTTACATACATACATACAGACAGACATACATACATACAGATGCATACATATACATACATATACATACATACATACATACATACATACATACATACATACATACATGCATGCATGCATGCATGCATGCATGCATGCATGCATGCATGCATGCATATATACATATATGTGTATATATATACAGATCACGAATTTTCAAACCATCCACTGATCAGGGTTTGTCGCTGATGTCAGAAGAACATCCAAGCCTCTGGCGGCACCCCGAAGGTAGAGACCGCGTGCCGAATCAAGCACGTCCCCACCGGCCTCACCCAGGAGTGCCGGGAGGAGCGCTCCCAGCTGACCAACAAGTCCAGGGCCCTCGCGCGGCTCAAGGCCAAGCTCGTGGCGGTCATGCAGCAGCAGCGGCCGGGAGCTCGGCCAAGTTGTGGAGTACAGTGGGGACCCATGCTAAGAAGCACCCTACTTGCCTCCAGGGTGCCCTGGGTTCCTTGGGTGTCGATGCTTTCGCTATGGAAAGCGTGACGCTCCCGGGCCTCCACTGTATGGAGGGAGCCCAGTCGGGTTTGATTGGCAGGTGGAGAGTGCAAAGTCAAGGGCATCCCTTGTGCCCACTGTACGGGGAATCCGGGAATCTTCAATTTCCGCTTACATTGTTATACTATTACACCGTCAGCGTAGCGGTGTAGGGCTGCACCAATACACCGTCACATGGTTAGCCGACAGCGGTGTGGAGTTACACCGTTACACCATGGTGTAGCACTACACCGTTACACTGTTACACCGCGATGTAGCGCTACACCATTGCACCCTTACGTACACAGTTAGCGCAGCAGTGTAGGGCCTACCATTACACCGTGAGCCGCGACGGTGTAGGACTACACTTGTACACCCTTGCACCATTAGCCGCAATGGTGCAGGGCTGCACCATTACATCGTTACACCTTCAGCCGCAACGGGGTATGACAGGTCCCACAGCAGTAGCCCCCAAGAAGACCCCCTGGTCTCTTCAGTCGCCGACTGAAGGGACCTACAAGGCATTTTTCAGCAAGAATACGTTGTAGGTCCTTTCAGTCGCTTTCTGGTCTAGGTGACGAGCCAGAATATTGAGGCATCGGGGACTGGACGGCAGTGGGAGCTGTCATGTTCCGTTGCAGGTAATGGTGTAGCGGTGGTGTTGTACCTCTTGGTGCCCTCCTGGGAGGCCTCTTGGAGGCCTCTTGGGGCGTCTTGGAAGCCTCTTGTGCCGTCTTGGCGCCATTTTGCACGTCTTGGGGCAATGTTTGGACGTCTTGTGGCCTTCTTGGGCCGTCTCGAGGGCCTCTGGAGGCTCTCTTGACCCGCCGTGGGGCCTTCTGGGGCCCGATAAAGCCACGCGAGAAGATGCGCTAGAGCCCAGGGGAACCGCGGCACGCCCAAGAAGATTTGAGAATTTGGGCTCCGGGTTCCTCAAAGACTCTTCAGGAGTGCTTAAAGGATTAGACAAAGGACCTGAGAGCACGCCCACCCCGTACCCAGCGGCACGGTGGTGGATATACAAATATATATATATATATAGAGAGAGAGAGAAAGAAAAAAAAAAAAAGTCTGAAGCGCCAGGTTGCTGCACATGTATACATGACTTGCCATGGAGATTGAGCACCAGAGAGAGCTCACTCTAGGAGACAACGCCTACGTTGGCCCGTGGTGGCCAGTGCGGAGCTTAAAATGCATAAGTGCCATCACGACGACAGATGGTTTACAAGATTTTGGTTGTTCCAGTGACCCAAAGCCCGTTGGCGATTGGACGCTGGCGAGGGAGATCGGCTCATAGTACCTAGTGCTAACGTTCAGGCTCAACCTCGCAGAAAAGGGGCCCTCTGACCAGCCTCTGCGGGCTCCGCCCTTCTCCGTCCAGGCTTCGCGGCTTTGGGTGCCGCGGGATTGGTGCTTCGTTGACCTTCCCTGGCCCAGGGGCAGGACGCGCGCGTCGTCGACGGTCCTCGGGAGAGGCGCCCAGATGCGCCGCAGGGGAAGAAGAGGGCGGCGGGATGAGGGCGAAGGTGGGCGGGACAGAGGCGCAAGGGGAAGACGGAGGCAGGACAGAGGACATCGTCTGTCTCTCCCTCCTCCCCCTCCTCGTTCTGTTCCCCCTTCATCCTTCGCCTCCTCCCGCGGCTTCCTGCCCCTCCGCCGCTTAGGCGTTCATGGCCTCTTTGGCACAGCTGTTGCTCAGGGCGTGCCTCTCCTGACAGCCGCTCTGCCGAAACCGTGCCAGTTGGCCACCAGGCGCCGCGTTCGTCCTGGATCTTGTCGTCATCGTCGTCGCCATCCTCTATCTTGTCGCCGTACTCCCTCCCTGCTGACTCTCCTGCTCCGCCTCGGCCTGACCATCTCAGTATGCTGATGCTCACATTAAGATTGTTGTTGTTTTTGCTCCTCTTCCTCCTCGTCGACATCATTCACCATCCCCCTCCCACCACTCCATCCTCCCTCCCTCTTCCCTCCTCGCTCATCCCTTCCTCCTCCTCTGCCTCCTCCTCCTCCTCCTCCACCTCCTCCTCCTCCTCCTCAACCTCCTCCTCCTCCCCAGCATCATCACCACCCTCATCCTTGTCGTGCGCTCCGGCGGGCCATGTGGACTGAGGCTCGAGAGGGTAGACGCGATCCGCGGCGACCTGGTCGAGGCGCAGTGGGGCGCCCAGATCAGGAGCTTGGCGGCCTGCCTGGAGAGGAGGAGGAAGAGAATAGAGGCGTGGGGTGGAGGAAGAAGCGGGAGCAGAGGGAGAGAGATGGAGAACGTACGGGCGGAGGGGGTGGAGGAGGCGGAGGAGGAGGAGGGCAACGAGGGAGGGGCCGGAGGAGGAGGAGGAGGAGGAGGAGGAGGAGGGGTAGGAGAAGGAGCAGGAGGGTGACGGCGGCGGGAGGGAGGGTGAGGGAGGAGAGGATGGAAATGTCAGGGGGAGGGGAAGGACGGACGGACGGAACACGCAGGAGCAGGACGAGAAATATGGAACAGGAACAACCCCCCATGGGGCGCCGCACCGCCTCTCCAGCCTGCGGGCAGAGGGCGCCCAGGTTCTGCGACTGCAGGCCGAGAAGGCTGCCTGCGCGCTGACCTGTGCCGAGTCGGGCTGGCACGGGCCCGACGTGGCGCAACCCACCGCGCCGCCGAGCGGCTGCCATCGTGAGCTCCGACTCCAGGGAGGTCTCTTGCCCGAGCGACGCACGCACGAAGGCGGAGGGCCCGAGGCAGCGCGAGGCAGCGTCGCCCCCCCCCCCCC